GAGGAGAATTCAGAAAAAAAAAGAAGAAAAAAACCTGTAACTATCCATGTATAAGTCTTCCTCAGTAAAGCATACAAGAATTAATAAAAGATTATCATACAAAGAAAAATACTGAAAATATTAATTCTGCCACTCTCTCACTCAAGGGTCATTTCTAGGTTAAACATAGATGCCCCACTGTCTTCTTAAGAACTCAAGAAGTCTTCTAGAAGAAACATATGTTACTTCTGAAAAACAAGTTGAGGCTACATCGTAAAACTAGAGAACTGCAAACTTCACAAATGTAAAATAAAAATAACACACTCGAAGAATTTACTAGCACTGAATCTGATATTAGGCTGCCACCTTCAATCATGAATTTGAAGGATTCATATCCTTCCTCGAATAAATGCTTCAGGATGTGCAAACCATCATGAAAAGTGAAACTACAGGATGAGGTGATCTATCAATAATTAGTGTTCATTCAGGTGTAATGCTATCAGACATGAACCCATTTCTGAGAATGCGCAAAGCCCATTGTTAGTATGGGTGCTCCTATCCAATGAGAAATATGCACAGCTGATACACGAGTCTGTCAAACTACTTTTGAAATAAACTGTCACACTTGGGCCATAAGATTCCCTTCCTCCTTTTCTCCCATAGCTCAAAATATAAAAGATAAAATGCTACCTCTGCTTACTTCTACTGTAGAACTTACCATGGTATTACTGCGGTAATAATTTGTAAAGAACATACACATGAGAAAAGGAAAGCTCAAGTCATTCTTAAAACATTTGTGCAGAACTCAGGAGAACTCTGTCACCTCCTGAGCTGCATTCTTCGACAAAGGTGAAAGACTTTCCCAAAACCTGGGCTTTCAAACTTTTTCCCCCCACAGATCATACTCATTCAGCTGGCTTGAGTGACATGATACTTTATTTAGTACCTTCCTAACTGGCTACAACTCATGAGTCAGAAATAAACAGCAGCTCAGAGACAGAGAATTAACCTCCTCGGAGCAATATTAGATTAAGTGGAAGCATATAATCAGAATCCAGAGGATTAGTCAAGAACTTCAATACACCAGGTAATAAATGCCTAAAGCTCACAAAACGTGCACATTTCACAAACAAACCTGGACAAGCTTGGCTGACATTGCTGTGTAGCTGTAGTGACTGTGCAGTACACCAAGCAACCTGTGTATGACATTGCTCAACCCCAGCCAGCAGTGAGCACCAGCTAGCCACTCACTCCTTTCCTTGCCACCCGGGTGGGATGAGAGAATCATAAGAGTGAGAAAATTCATGGGTTGAGATAAAGACAGTTTAATAGGTAAAGCAAAAGCCGCGCACACAAGCAAAGCAAAACAAGAAATCCATTCACTGCTTCCCATCAGCAGGCAAGTGTTTAGCCATCTCCAGGAAAGCAGGGATCCATCACATGTCATGGTTAATTGGGAAGACAAATGCCATTACTCCGAACGTCCTCCCATTCCTTCTTCCCCCAGCTTTATATGCTGAGCATGATGCTATATGTTGTGGGATATCCCTTTGGTCAGTTGAGGTCAGCTGTCCCAGCTGTGTCCCCCTCTCAGCGTCTTGTGCACCCCCAGCCTATCTGCTGGTGGGGTGGTGTGAGAAGCATAAAAGGACTTGACCCTGCGTAAGCACTGCTCAGCAATAGTGAAACCATCCCTGTGCTATCAACACTTTCTAGCACAAATCCAAAATGTAGCCCCATACTAGCTACTATGAAGATAATTAACTCTACCCCAGCCAAAACCAGCACAATATCAGATGGCTCTTTTGTAGCCATAACCCCTCTCCTTCTCCCTAGAAATCCACTTTATGCAAAATATAAAACTACAAAATTAGAACTGTAGCACTCAGACACTGTATTGGTAGAACTGATCCCACATCACAAAGCCTGTGGGGACAATGTTTCTCAATGCAAAAGAAAAAAACATTGAAAAATCTGACTCCTGGTGAACTCTGGCCTGTATTATTTCCAAAGAGATCAAATTCTACAATACTTCAGGAAAGCATTACTCATTCAGCAATGCAGGAACTTTTTTGGAAAGATCTGGCAGGGCAAGGAAGGAATAAAACAACCAACTCCCAAAAGGCAAGTGATTCTACTAGAAGATGTAAACAAAGACAAACTATAGGTTTTTCTGTGTATCTGACTTACTTCAGTATTAAATAGCATGTGTAGCTTGAAGGTTTCCTTCTTTCAGCTTCAGACCTACACTACAATTTTATTAAGCCAGTTCTCTAAGGCCTTTCTAGTTTTCAGAAGAAACAAGTTTGTACTCTGGAGTAGCGTATCAATGAAATCGTAATACATTACCCTAGCAATTGGAAGTGTATCAACATAATAATCCATACAGTGATAACTGAAGTCAGAGTTAAGTATTTAATCTTGTAAACTATCAAATGAACATAGCAAGTGATAGAAAAATTGAGGACAGCATTACAAGAAAATGCTTTCCCAGTTCCCCTGTGTAAATTACAGCAATTTGCTTTCCATTTTACATGTCAGTCATGGAAACAAGAATACAGCATATTTCCTTATGTAACAAGGAATTCCAAGCCTTCAGACCACTGTCTCCCTCAGTGTAGGCCCCCGAAAGTAAATGGTCAGAGCAAGAAACAGCCCTCTGCTTTACTTTAAAATCATTCACAAAATCTCTCCTTGCCTTGAGGACAGTACTTAGTGCTCCTAAATCTCAGGCCATTACATCATTAGTCCTATCTCACTCTCCTCAACGAATATTTCCAGAGCAACAGGTGGTAACTAAGAAGTACACACCCCAAAGCCTTTACCACAGGCAGAATTGAGAAATTCAGTTTTACCTTTTAACAGGCAAGCAATAATGGAACAGACAAATACAGAATCAAACACAGCAGAAAAAGTAAATATCTGCTTCATTCCCCGCAAACTAATTTTAGTGAAAGAAGGCAGTAGAAACTTGGGTCAAATCACTGCACTGCAGATAAGTCACAATTCACTTGATCAAAAACTTTTGCCTTCTCCCTTATAATCATTCAGTGAAGGACTCAGCATAATTTGCTAATTTCTCTTTCGTATGTTCTTTTTCCAACGGAAATAATTTCTGATTTCTTTTGTCTGATGCTCCAGTTTTATGGCCTTGGGATATTAAATTCAGCCATTTTAGATAAGCCACTATAGCCCTGTTCTGTCACCGTGTAATATATTTCACACTTAAATCATGGTAGAAAGTGTTTAATGTAGTTTTACAAGATGCACCATGTTACACTGCAGTGAAAGACTGTAAAAGACTGCTTACCAGAAATCAGCGTTCTTCAGTAGTTTCCATGTTTATAGCTGTGCTTTGCCACATAAAGCTGAAATCATCTCTCCTTTGCATACTCCAGAACAGATACACTTGCCCCTTTCTCCTGCTTTGTATATGTTATCAGGACAAAACCCTTCTACTGTTTTATTTCAATTCCTCAGTGTAGATTTGTATTTTATATTCTCTTTCCTCCTTCCCTCCCATAAAAAAATAAAAAGCCTGGGTACAGGCGTAACTGTAGACTACACATACCAAACAATATCTAACTTCTCTTCAAGTCAAATACTACAGTCCAGCAAACATGCTTTCCTAGTGCCTAATAAAATGGCACAGGCTTTGTATTTATGTAAAATTGCATGGTCTCAGCACTTCTCTTGGCCTGAGCTTATTATAGTTGTGGTAACAACTGCCTAGAAGTCAGGTGACAATTCCCTACCCTGTTTTAGCTTCATTCAATGGGTATCCTATATGCAAAGGTCTGAGAAACTTACACAGTCACTGCTTAACAGACAGTCTATAAGTTAACTGGTGCCAGGGGAGGCTAACCATGAACTTTGACTAATTTTTAATGGGTGAAAACAGTAAAACTTTACCTGCGACAAGTAAGCAGACTGTTACAAAACAGGAAAGTGTTATAACCATGTTAGAAAATGAAAGTGTCATGGCAGTGACAGTACCCCACTGCAAACCAGTATCAGTAAAAAGACAGGGACAAACTGTTTCCCTTCCAAGGAAAAGCCATGCAGTGATGCCATGAGTTTGAGAGACCTCATCAGATGGCGTAGAAAAGCAGAGGGGAAAAGAAACCTGACTGCAAATCTCCCTTCCCATCTCACTATAAATTAAATGAGGTCTAACCAGATATAACCAAGCTAGCCAGACCACCTAGCTCTGGAATCAGAGACAGTCTTCATGACACATTGAAGCAAGCAACTCTCATGCATACCTTATCCAATGTTTGAGCACACAGAAGTGGTGACACTTCACTGCCCAGTAGGTGACTTTTGAAACCCTTCCTAAATCAGAGAGGTTGGGAAAAATCATGGTCGTTTGCAAAGGCTTATACCAACAAGTGTTCAGTGAGAGCACATTTCTGCAGTTTTGTTTTCACACAAGTTAAATAAAAATACATTAATATAATCAATGGCTACAATTGTGTTAATGAATAAGCAACTTGTTATATTTGCTTTTTGTGTCATATGCAACTTTTAGAAGTACACATTTCAAGGCTGAGGTGTAAAATGTTAGTATCATTGTACTCAGTCTGCATTGGTTTGATGTAAGCAGCAGTATGCCTACTTGGTATATATAATGAAGACATTTGGGAACCACGGCTCATTTGAGAAGGCATTTGCACACCACTTCCAACACCAATAACAAATACTATGTAGTCTCAGAAAGAATGCACATATTAAGTTCGCCAATGTCAGCATTTTAAGTTATACATATATTCCCCTCAGCAGTAGTGAACTGCATTTTATCCCATTTTCCATATTAAAGTTTTCTGCTTCTATAAAACTTTCTCAAAATTTTTACCAACTACATTAAGCCATTTAACTACACCTTTCACTAACCTTTGTGTTGTACTTGAGTTATTTTAGTGAACATATATCTCCATATCCTGAGGCTCTATTCACATTAAACTTGTCTTTAGCATGTGAAGTCAAAGCCAAAAATGTCAGTGCAAAAACAAATGAGATATTTAGGATTCTGTTTCTGGTGTAATTTCCAAGCTTTTTCTTTCACATCCTCTAGAATGTTTCACATCATAGACCCACACAGTGTCTATTCCCTCTCCAGTAGTATGATCTGGGATCCAACAAGGGAAAGGAAAACGACAGGCAATGATTCTGGCATTACATTCAAGTTCTTCTTCTAGTTTCTTCTCCAACTGTGGCATCTGTTGAGCAACAATAAAAAGCTTTCAGAAGCAGTGAAAAACAGAAGCATTCTCTTTAGAAATCAACTCAAGTGTGCAAGAGGAGACCAAGGTTTGAGGAATTTTTGGAAAAAAAATTGGGAAAGTATTCATGATATATGTTTTGGCTTTGATGCACTGATAAATAATATCTAAAAACTAGAAAATTGTTATTGTGCCCTGATTGGCGAGATCAAGAAAATCTTATGTTCTAAAAATTCAAACAAAACCTGGAGATAATCTCTTGGATTAAAAAAAAATAAAAATCCACAAAATAAGAAGAGACTTTGCATGTTCCAACTCATTACTCTCTTCAGTGGGATTCTTCTCTGTAGAGAATGGGAGCTCAGGTCCCTGAATTCATGCTACTTAGGGCACCCCAAGTCACATGAACTATTGCGTGACACTCAAAGGCCAATGTTTCTCATAATTTCCAGCCCGACCCCAAGACATACCTTGGGACACTCACAACATCATACAGCCAACAACTCAAAGCAAATATTCTGCTGTTACTGTAAGCCAACGTACTGGTATGTTAAATACTATTGAAACTGAGCTTTGTTGGCTCCAGCCTGTTAACATATGCACATTAACTTTCCTCAGCTGTACTGTACGAAGTAGCATATAACACCATGCAACTCTCCTCAGTTGAAGACGTACAGTCCAGCTTTCCTCCATTTGCAAGAACTGAGCAGATATGAAAGCCGATGGAATTATCACTCCTCTTCCAGAACAGAGCAACATCCTGCCCAGTCAGATACTCTGTCTCCAATAAGTATTTTGCAAATTCTGCTATGGATTAAGTAAGAAATGTATTAACACATTGAGACGTCAAAGGAATTTCTTTCCCACCCAAGATAGTGATTATGTTCTGAAAAAAACTTAACTTTATAAATTTAGCCATTTTTGTCCTTTGGAAAAGTTTGATGTTATGCTTAAGTAGACTAGTGCAAATCCATCTGGAATTTCTTTTATTCTTACATACTGTATCTATCTCAGAGTAATTATAACAGCAAGCTCCACAGGTTACTTCTATTACATGTAAAAAATCCATTTACTTTGATATCATGACATAACACTTAGATACTAAAAGGCTAAAAAGACAGCAACAAATACAGTTAAAGTCAAGTCACAAAGGACACAAAATAAATAAAAAGTTCAAACAAAAAAATACAGAACATTATTAGAAAACAAGACTGACTGACAAAAAGATATTTCCAAAGACTGCAGATAGCTTCCACTATCACATACATGCTGAGTGTACCTTTGATGTAACATCATATTATAGCTACATTTAAGCTTACAATGGAATATTTTAGGAAAATTATATCATAGATCTAATACATCAAAGGGTTACCTCTGAATATTTTCAAGCGTTCTATGCTCTGATTGAATGCATACAGCAAATGCTTTTTAACATTTTTGCTACCGCACCCTCAATAAACTGGAAAAACAAGCCCACTTCAGTATCTCAGATTGAGCTAAGATACCAAAAAAGGACAGACAAAATTGTAACAGAAATTACAAATACAGACATAGTACAATTTTTAATGAGTAGTTATGACAATTAGTGACAACTCATGTCTATGTTAGCTTAAATTAGAAAACTTCATTAATAGTTCAGCCAAAAAGAATTGCATCCTTGAATCAAACAGTCCAACTAGTTTTTAAGCCGTATCTCTCACTAACATTAGGTGTTACAATCATACTGTATTTCATATCAAGCCAGGGTTGGGTCTTTTTGGTATGTCTACATAGATATACAGTTTAGTAAGTCTTTTGTACAGTATATAATCAGTTAAGATACATAGAAGCTACAAACACGAACCCCTGGTAAGAATGCTGTCATCCCACCTTGAAAAAGGAAAAGGCTCTCTGCAATGACACATAGATAAACACACCTCCCCCCAAATGTCTGCAAGAACAGAGAGGTCTTAGTCTTCCCTGAGATCAATAAATCCAAGTTCTGTAGCCCAATCTTGGATATGAAATAAAAGCACTGTGTGACAGCATCAAATTAGACCAGTATTATTAAGAAAGCTACAGAGATCTATTGCCCTCAGTAAAAAAAAGACAAAATGCATTAAAATTTACAGAAAATCAATTTAGTCATTCAGGAGGCTAAGCATTCACAGCTTCTGAAGTAAATTTAAAAGGGATGATGAGCAAACTAAAGCTCAGGAAACACACTAGTTCATATGTTTGGATCTGTTACATTTATGACAGTACTCTTATCTGAAGAGTTTAGCTTAGTATTCAATGAATTTACTGAAGTTATTCTGAGCCCTAGAGCAACTCTTTCTATCATAGCCGTTACTAATTTATTCCATTTTATACTATTACATTTAAAGTTAAGCCAGTATTTCTGCTAGGATTACTCATATTTTACCAGGGCATTTGTTTATTTCTAGTTTACTGAAAAACCTGCCTTCACCTGCACTTTTCCCCTCAGTGCAACTGCAGGATTTCTGACTGCAAATTCAAATATTTATACTGCCCCCTCCTGGAACGCCAGCTAGAGAGCACATAACATCCAAAACCGAGCAACATCTGTAGCACAAGTACCATCATTAGTTCTCACTAATATGCCACGCACAAAACTAGGGAAAAAAAATGCATTTTCACTTCAGTTTCCAACATGAGTTAAAAATCTGAATCTGAAGTAGGCATTTAATTCCAATACTGTTACAGAAAAAGCTTCTTGTTGCATCTTCCTGTTACTACTACAGAAATATTGTATGGTATAGCATCCCATAAAGTTCTTCACTGACTTCATCCCACATCCACCTTAGCAGAGGAAGAACCAATATGAAGCATTTATAGGTTATTTCTGTTTCACTCCTCTATATGCATACAACCTATACAGAAGATTCTAATAATTAATCAAAATAGGAAGAATATTTAAATAGTTGAGATTTTTTTTCTCTTTTCTAGTAAAAATATCTAGATAAAGCTGAAAGTCAAAGTAAATGTAAAGTCTGACTGAATTTATCGAATATATCACTAAAGCAATCACTACGCAACTCAATTTCTCCAGCAATTTTGAAGAATGCAGTTTCCCCAGGGGCACAATGAACATAAGCTACAAAGACTTCCTAAAAGGCAAAGAAATTGTGCACTTCTACTCTAGTAATTATAGTTGAAGTCTCCCTTCCTAAACTATCACAGTCTAACATGGGCACGGGATTAGTATAGCATATCAACTGCTGGCCTATTTGAGATGATTCAGATTTTGGAGAACATAAGCAAAGTTCAACACTCTCCTCTTACAAGGCTCCCAAAAATCAGCTGTAGCAAATTTCCCACTCCATCCCCTCCCTGCAAACTCCTCATTTTTTCAGTATGAAAACCTGAAATTTTCAAGAATCAATCTATCACCTTCACCCCAAGTAACTTGAGCACAGCAGCTTTCATTCTGGTTCTGAACTAATGGACAGAAAATACTTCTCAAAAAAATAAGTTACAAGTTCTACCAGTTTTTAATCATAGCAACAATGAAATATCAAAATATTAGTACTAACTACCTTTGACATCTGCAGGTTGGTTCATTTTGCAGATGAAGGTACTAACACTGAATGCCTTAATATTAAAATAATTAAACAACACAAAAATAGTAAACTTACCATTTGAGGTACCCCAAAAACAACAACATTCATATAACGGGAAAAAGAAACCTAAAAGAAAATTTAAGAAAAGTCTTAATTAAAATGGCATTTATATTTGAAGAAGTTCTCACCATTCTCTTCCACTGATCCCTCTAGCTGCACTCCTTTCAACACAGATTTAGACCAAAAATAAGAAAAGGAGATCCCATACCAACTTTGCACCACACAAATTTACACATAAAGACAACTTTATATTGCTGAACAGCAAAAAACTTCTACTACCCGGCCAAGAATATAAAACAAATTCTAGTAGCACAAGAAGTATCAATTTAGAAAATACCTACATGATTTTACTCATTACTAAGTTTTTCCACAGCTCCTAGATATGTTTTAAGTGTGCCCCCACTTTTGTTAAATGTTAGCTAGCTATAAAAACATCCCCGGCATTCAAATGCTTGGATTCTTCCAGTCAGTGCCCTGAAGTTTTCCTGTGCTCCTCTCTGAACAAAGATAAAACCAGTACATTCACACTTTTCCCCAAAATTCCACTTTACCCACTACAAAATGGTATTCTTAAAAAAAAAAAAAGCCAAAAACAATCAAAAATCCCACAACTTTGACAGGAATAGCAGGGGAGAGGCCTACATAAATACAACCCCCAAAAAAGTGCCTCATTAAAGAGGCAATTGTGACTCAAATGATGGAAAATCGTAAAAAATTCTCAGCCACATATAAATTACCTTAAAGCAACACTCAAAACCAAGTAACACATTACACAGCTAGAAAAGAACACATCTAATGAAGTGTCAGAAGAGATTGTGATCTTGCATGTTAGGTGAATAAGTCTTGTTACTGATTCCACAGAATCAGCTCTCAGTGAAGCCTGACATTACAGCACCCCACACCATCCAACAGGCAAAAGCATGACAGTGTGCTCAGGGAGACTGTACTGAAAAAGAACAGCACTTCACCCAAGCACAAAAACAAGCACTGCACTGAGCCTAGTTTCTGTGGGCTCAGGTACTTTTCTCAAAACCCAATACAGCACCTTGGGGCCAGCCAGCATTCTGGTTCTTTCAATAAAGTATCTCCAAATTGTGGAAAACTCTCAAACATCCCAGATTCATTCTTACATACTTCATCACCTACCTTCCATAAGTCTGAAATATAAAATCTGGTGTTCTGATGCACCCCATCTCTCCAGGCACGGTATCTGGAGTACCAAACTAGCCAGGGATTTAATTCATAACCAACAGCTTTGAATCCCCTTTTTGCAGCTGCTATCACCTACAAGGAAGAAAATATATCTTCACTTAGAAACAGAGAAAGTCTATTAATGTAAATAGGAGCACATAGGTTTTGTTTTTGTTTTTTTGTTTTTGTTTTTTACAAAATAAATCCAAGGAATGCACTTTTATAAATCACTCAGGTTTTAAACCTCAACAGATTAGTAGTAGAGTGAACAAAAACTCAAACCACATTTTACTATTACTTGTCCCACTGAAATGAATAGATATATTCAGACAAACAAAATGAACCATTTAAACATTCAAAGGGCAAAGCTGTAAGCTTGTAGTATATCTATGATTTACATAAAAGTTTAATTTAATACATTCATGACACTACCTTAGAATTAAAGAGTACTGAAAATGACCATGGAGAGAACAGTGAAACACATAAGCAGAAATGCTCAAAATCAAAGCACTTATTTGAAAAGCAGTGATGGGTAGGCACCTGAGATACCCCTGAAATCAGAGCAAGATGACCTACCAATAGAAAAAGTAATCTGTTGACCTATATTTAAAAAAATGTAGGTCAAAAATTTAAATGTAAGTTAAAAAATTGAAAAAAAACCCCACACAAATCTCACAGTATAGCTTTCATCCAATACTAAGCTTCATATATCATTTTAAAAGGCAAAAGGTAACTCAGATAACAAATACATTTTCAAAGACATTCCTCTGAGTTAGACCTAAAGATGTAGAACTGTTAAACTGTACAGCAAGTGTCTTCAGACAAGATCAAAGTCTACTGATTTTTTAGGGGGGGGAAAAAATTAAGGAAAATACAAGGAGGCACCAGCTTCTAGAATTAAGTCATAATTTAAAAGGTTACGTTTTAATCAGGAAAAGCTTCATGAACTATGAATTACAGAATGGGCAAGGTGAAATCAGGAAGAAGTACTCATGTCTTAAGAGAACTTCTCAAACAGCGTCACCTGGACAGCATGTTTCAAGCTATTAAAATAATGCATCTTCCATCATGCACACAGCATTTGCAATTAAACTAAAAGAACCTGACATTTTTACCATGCCTGGAAATAAAAATAGGGTCATATTTATCCACCAATTACACCTGAGTAAGTGCTAAATATTTAAAAGCATCTGAACAGAAGCTCAACTTTTTTTCAGGACAGATGCATTAAGGCAACACCAAGCATTCCATTTTAGGCACCTGGATCTCAAAGTAGCCTTCAGTCTCCACACACACTCACAAAATCAGAATTAAACACACGGTACCTAATGAAATTAGGTGTCTCAGATGAGGGTCAACAACCAAAATGCTGAGCAGAGAGGGCATCACAAACTGCAGCTCTCGTACCTATGTGCTTTTCCGTTTCCTTCTCAGCCACCTTTACAGATCTCGATTTCCAAATCACATTTTTTAACGTGAACAAATGGTTGACTCATTCACATGAAATATGAACAAAGGTAGCATTCAAGAACTTACTTGTTTCCATCAAAAAACCACTTAGTGCACCATCCTGTCACTAAAACTGACTTGAAGCAAATGGTTAGGAAATGGTACACAAAACATCACAACTACAAAAAAAACTCACACCATTCTCCATTACACCCTCACCACCACATTTCACAAATAGGGGTTCAGACAATGTCCTGGAAGCACAGTATCACTTTGGCTTTACTATCACTTTAGAATAACCACTATTTCTCTTGGTAGTTATTCTAGTTTCACCACAGTCATTCTGAACTGGGACAGCCAGCACTGCACAAAGGTGGGAAGTCTTCAATTCCTTCAATACCAAGATTTTTATAATTCATCACTCATTTCTGATTCTCTTTTGTTCTTCTATCACCTTTATATAATACGCATATTGCTGCAGCCTCATGTGTTGCAGCTATAAACCTATGCAGAATCACAATACCAATACTCTGACTGAATCTCTTCATGGGAATGCAGTGCAATTCCCTCCAGCCAACAGGATCAGGTTATAATTTTGTACACTACCCTGTCAAGCTGCAGGTAAGACTGGAGCAAAAATATTGATTACTCACCTAAGCTGAACATAAGCCTTTATCAGCTTTGAACCTTTTCATGACTCGCACAAAAACACTGGATACCACAGACAAGACATTCATAAATAAGAGAAAACAACAGCAGCCACAGCTAGAGCACTTGGCACTTTTTTGAGAGGTGACATAAGAGGAAGGCAATGCCCGTAACTTACAACACGGCCGTCCCCGCTACCAATGTCCACTAGGGAGCCGCTTCTGCTTTCTAACATTTTCAGCACATTCTGGATCTGAGCGGAAGTTGCAGGAACGAAGGGCAGACACACTTTCCTCAAAGCTGGGGTCACGAAGGGGGTGACCACGGCGTACAGTGCCACCAAGGTCCCACCGATACCAGCGGTGACCAACAGTCCCCAGCTCCTCCTTCTGGAGCCGCCCTCGCAACCCGCTTGCTGGCCTGCTGTGTGGCTCTCATCGCGTAGACACCTAGAGACAGACATTAAAGAGTATTAGCTTCATTATGTGCCCACTTAAAGTGCATTTTATCAGACAGAACATCACGAAGAAAACTTATATCCCTTTAGCTGATTCCTAAGGCCCAAGAGAAATTTTACTGTAACTGCTTTCGAGAAGCTGAAGCACTAGGTTCACCTTTCAGCAGGGGTGGGGGAAGCAGTTTCTCTTTAAGCCGCAGTTCTCGCCGCCCGG